CTATGAGCAGAATGTGCCGTGTGTATTCGCGGCTACCTTTGCTACAAATCGAACTGTCTCTCGGTTGGGAAGTAGATTTTGATAGTGTGTGATCTGTTACCGCTTTCGGAGCAACGGAGATCGGCCTAAGATCCCATACTGGAGGAAAATAAACATGCAAAAAGTGTATACGAAAGAAAATAATATTTCTTGTGTATACAGAAGAAAAAGAAGCACGGAAAGTATGCACGAAGGAAAATATTTCTTATGTATACAGGGGAAAAATAATTTTACTGGAAACTTATTTCTGTGTTAACCATCTTGATTTATTGCTTAAGCCTCACGTACTGGAACAAGGTTCCACAACAAGATGGTTACATTATTCCATAGATTTATAAACGTATCAAATTCGAATGACCCAGAAACATATATTCATGTTCTTATGAAAGTAGTTAAAAATATTAAACAACTTTGCAATTATTAAGATAAATTTTTCATAAAATGGTGAATAATTTGAAAACAGTGACAACAAGAATTAGAGCGTTCAAACTGTTTCAAAGTAACGAACGTGATAACTGATGTCATCTAGTGTTGATGTGGTGAACTATTGACCTTATGACACCCCGCTGGAAACATCTCTTGACGGTTATAAATGATGATTATTACTTATTCAGCGTGCTCTCACACTGTTACCACCATTAAGAAAGTTAGTATGCATTATTATCTTTTATATTATGCTTGTTAATTAATCAATAAACCATTGCTGAATTCAGTTGAACATTAAATATTTATGTCACTTGGTATTTTCAGGTAACAGATTTAGGTGTACCATATTCAGACACATTATTGTCAAATTTCAAGGAATCATTTCTTGGTGTTTTTACTGGTGTTGAGAAAAAATATTTTTATAAGTTGTATTTGTGGATGTGCCAACACTTTGTATACTGCCATAACATTCTGACATTCAAAATCAAATATCTAGAATTTGTTCTTTTATTGTATGTTTCCTATTAAATTAACTTTTTATTTTTTAACTTTCTTCTTCACAAATTTTAAGCTACAGTAAAGTGTTGCTGGTAAAATACAATACATTTTAATCTTCTAATTTTCTGAAATTTTTACTGTATCCGAAAAAATTGTGTTACCGCAACCACCCTTCTACAAGAATCCAATTCACCACCGAATGTCATGAATTGGCACAATGGAACCGCATCTAAAATACCTTTGAAGATCATTGTATTCCTCTGAATAAAAAAAAGAACAGGAAAATGCTCCGAAACTATAAAATTCTACGAAAACCTCATCTTAGGAAAAAGATGATAATAATCGGTTCGATCGTTGTCACGACCGGAGCCAGCTGAACAAGCCGGAAAATACTGTTCGTCCGCGGAAGTTGAGCCAAAGTTCCGGCAGAATAGTTAATCACTTGCTTTCGTAAGTAACAACGCGTACCGTCGAAGTTTCGAGGACGAGGAGACTTAATCAGGCTAGGTTGAAAAGTTATCCCGACAGCGAAGTTTGAATCCTTCCGGGTTAATGCCTATTATGCAGATCAGCGCAGCCAATGCGCGGCTGAGTCAACTGACGTTAACAATGGAGAATTTGCAAGTTGCTTCATCGTTGTGAATCGGCCGAAACGATTGGGTGTTTGAACGGCGGTGTTGCCTCGGGCGGCTCTGTTTGCAGACATAAGGGAGTAACGTAGTCGGCCGCCTCTCGGCGAGTCAGGGGAGTTCAATTGGTGGCGGCAATCCTAGTAATGTACCCATGGGGCTCTGTCAAAGTGCTTTCTAGAAGAGAACGATGTTGCATTCAGCATTCGGAAAGTTCATTTTTGACGGAAGTGTCGCCCTGCACCGAAACCTGCTGCATATCTTCGGCAAAGCTGATACCGGGATTGGAGTCCCTTTGATTCCTCATCATTTCGGTGTGCTTGACATGGGTAGATAAGAATGATCTCGAGACACGGACAGAGTTGGATATTAACTTATCGTTACGATTATGAGGTTAAACTTATTCATTTTTTGAATTATTCATATAACTCAATATTGTATGAATAATTCACTCGGGGGTCAAATGGTTGAGGAAGCAGTTAAGATAATTATGGCTTCTTTTACATTTAGACGATGTAATTAAATATATCTATATGGAAGAGTAAAATTTCTACTTTCAGATGAAACAATTTTGTGTTCGTGGAGGAAAAGTTTTAAATTAATTAAAATTTGAAAATGTCGAGTTAAACAATATTCAAGGCATGCCCTAGATATTAATTATTACTGTCCCATTAAATATTAAGTCCATTATTTTCATCGTTTAATAAATAGCATTAGAGTAGTACTTTTTGTAAAAATAAAAGTAGTTTATTTATAATAAATTTATCTTTGCCTCCTGAATTAATTTTAGTACGCAAAACTTTTCGCTAGCAACTTATAACAAAGCGCTGGTATCAAAGACCTGCAGCAAGAGCATCTTTTTGTGTGTAATCCTCCTTCGCCATTTTGAAGAATTTATGGAACTTTAAAATGTAAGGGAAGTAATTAAAAATAAATAGATTTCTAAATTACCAAAATCGCAAATTTTCAAAAGTCCAAATTAGTAATACCTCATAAATTTCTAAATTCTGAAATTCTCACAGAACCAGTTGTTTAAAGTTCAAAAATTTCGAATGTCCACTTTACTATATAGTTAAATTTTCAAGTGTCTGAATAGTTTAATTAAAAATTTTTAAAAATTCAAATTTATAAATCTAATTATAAAATATCTATGTTCTTAAAGTACCTTTAAGAAAAGTAAGATTCTAACAAAACCAAAAATCTCAAAATTTCTAATTCTCTAAATTTCTGACCCTTAATCTCTAAATTTCAAAATTTCCAAATTCTCATATGTCTAAATGTCAAAGTCTCCAAATCTCCAAGCCCCTAATTCTCCAAATTTCAAAATCTTTAAATTCCCACACCTCTAAATGTCTAAATCCCAAAATTTCCAAATCCCCAATTCATCAAATCCTCAAATCTCTAAATTCCCACACCTCTAAATATCCAAACGGACAAATTTCTAAGTCCCCAAATTTCCAAATCCTCAATTCTCCAAATCTCCAAATCCCGAAACTCCATATTTCTAAATGTCCAAACGTCCAAATCTCCAAATCTCCAAATCTCCAAATCTCCAGTCTCCAAATCTCCAAGTCTTCAAATCCCAAAATCACCAAATCTCCAAATCCCGAAATCCCGAAATCTCCAAATCTCCAAATCTCCAAATCTCCAAGTCTCCAAATCTCCAAATCTCCGAATGTCCAAATCTTCGAATGTCCAAATCTTCAAATCTCCAAATCTCCAAATCTCCAAATCTCCAAATCTCCAAATCCCCAAATCCCCAAATCTCCAAATTATTATAGTCTCAAATTTCCCAATCCTCAAATCCTCAAACACTCAAATTCGCAAATTACAAAATTTCCCAAATTTCCAAATTAAATTTCAAATATTCAAATTCTTAAATTTACAAACCTAAAATCCCCCAATTCCAAAAATCCCAAAATACCTAACTCTCTAAATCCCCTTTCCAAATTCTCAAATCTCCACATAAATTCTATTACCTTCCCACACACAATAAATCGATGTCCAAATTATTAATTTGCTGCAGCCGCTTCAATCTTCAGGCACTTAATAACAATTAACTGAAGAATGTCTAAAATTCTATTCCAGAAACAATGAAGTTGCACCAATGAAGAATACCAAATGTAATTGTTTCTTTATTGAAATGAAACTACCCGGAAGGGACGAGGGATTGAACGTAAGATAAAACAGCATAGTAGAATTTTATCAAAGAAGCGGACACATCCCCGATGGTTCTTCAGTCTTTTCACACCTCCATGCCCGGAGACTTAAGTTTAAAAACCGGTGGCTAAATAATGTATATCACAGCAGCAACAGCGGGCGATAAAACAGTTATAAAAACACCGGCAACTACGTTAAGATCAATTATTTAAGATGTACAGCTCCGTAAAGAGAGAGTCGAGCAGTCGTAAAGGGGGCGAAAGAAAGTAACGCTTCTAGGACGAACCGGAAGGGTAGGGAAGCCGAGGAGGCCATCGCGGGAGTTATAAAGGTTGCAGTTAAAAGTTACTTGAATTATCAAGGGGCTGACTGTTTCGAGACGATGGCAGCACCGTTATTTTTGAGCTGTTGCGTATCGGAATTTGTGAAAGTTCCGTTGTGTCATTCTGATAAAATTGTCAAGTAATAGATAGAGAAAAATCCGATATCTTTTATCGGAATCGCTGTAAGTTCAGATGTAACTGATGGGTGGTGATTCTTCCTGAAAAAATAGGACAAAAATATAGATGGAGGGGAGTGATTCTGTGTTAGATAAAATAGGACAAGAATGTAGATGTGGGCAGTGGATCTATGTAGAGAAGAAATAGGTCAAGAATATTGATATGGACGGTGGGTTATGTGGAGTAAAAGAAAAATAAGACAAGAATATAGATACGAGAATGATTATATGTAAGACAAAATAGAGCAAGAATGTAAATATACAGTGAGTGATATTGTGTGAAAGAAAAATAGGACAAGAATACAAGTATGAGTAATGAGTGATTTTGTGCAAAAGCAAAATAGGTAAAAGACATAGAAAAAAATAGATTTCTATAAAAAAGAAATATAACAAAAATATAGATATAGGCTGAGTTCTATGACTTTATTAGTGGAACCTAACCGTTATATAATTATATAATTATATAATACAAAATACATAATTATGTATTATATAATTTTTTTGTTTAATTGAATACTTAAGGTCACATGCACCTTCTTAGGTTATTGGTGACTACATTTGATTATGTATATACCCAAACCGTTATAAAAATTACAATTTACTTACTTTTATATTTTTATGTTATGTGCAACACTCTGATTAACTTCATTCAGGTTAATCCAAGTTAAGTTGCCAACTTCAAATACAACGACGAAAATGAACAACGGTGTATTTTAATCTAAACGAAAATAGTTTATGCGATAACAGATATGGCAGCTGACTTTGCAGATCATGAATTTGTTAAAGAAGATGTGAACGATTTTGATGTTATTATTATAGGCGCTGGTCTATCTGGCCTTACATGTGCATATAATATTCTGAGAAAGAAAGCTGGGTTAGATGTCTTAATAATTGAGGAAAATAGTAATTATTATTTTACGTAAGAAATTTTGAAAGTTTGGTAATATTAGTGTATGAAAGACAACAGTGAAAATATTATGAAGTATCTTTATTTTTTAATTTCATTGAAATAAGAGTAGATTTTTTATAAGACAAGATATTATCTAAATATGCGATATGAAACAATTAGAAGTTTTACAAATTTTAATACAATTGATATTAATATTGTTTTAATAAATTACAAATTTAAAGTTTATTTTTTAATTTAAACTTCATTCATCAAACATTGTAGGTTAATAAAAATGAAATCAGGGAGAGATTCAGAAGAACTACAGTGTGTGTCAGAATTAACTAAATTTACTGAAAATTGTTCGGCGTTAATATTGTTCTTTTTAGATTCAGAAATTTTTAAAAGGGTAAACTTTCAGATTCTGAAAGGTTTAAATTTTCAAATTTAGAAATTCGTAATCCCAAATCCCTGAATCTCCAAATCTCCAATTCTCCAAGTTTCTAAATTTCCAAATCTCCAAGTCTCCAAATTTCCAATTCTCTAAATCCCCAATTCTCCAAATTCTCAATTCTCTAAATCCTCAGTTCTCTAAATCCCCAAATCCCCAAATCCCCAAATTCCCAACTCCCCAAATCCCCAAATCCCCAAATTCCCAAATTCCTAACTTTTCCAATTCCCTAATTCCCAAATTCCCCAAATCCCTAAATCCCCAAATCCCCAAATTCCCAACTCCCCAACTCCCCAAATCCCTGAAAATCCCCAAATTCCCAAATTCCCAAATTCCTAACTTTTCCAATTCCCTAATTCCCAAATTCCCCAATTCCCCAATTCCCCAATTCCCCAATTCCTCAATTCCCCAATTCCCCAATTCCTAAATTCCTAAATTCTCAAATTCTCCAATTCCCAAATTCCCCAAATCCCCGAGTCCCCGAAAACCCTCAAATTCCCAAATCCTGAATTTACCGTAACTGTATGATTACAAAATAAATTATCATAGCCTTATATTAATATAGTGAATTTAATATAAATAATATAATATAATATAATCCGAAGAATTTAATAGAATTGAATAATACAATTTCTAGTGCTAATATCCATTATTTACATTTGAAAATAGATGAAGTTGGAGGCCGCATTTTACCAAAAGTTCTTAGCCAAACTTATCATGCTAATTTCTTGCAACAGCATATAACTGATCTGATAGAATCATTGCGTATAAATGTCAAACCAGGAAAAATTATTAATACAAGGGAAAAAATACTGTATTCGAAATCTGGACCATCACGGAATTTACCTAAATATTATGGAGCTGAAATTTATTCCTTTCTTGACATGGTAACAAAACATTCATTGTAGTTTATTCTTTTATGCAAAGTACTTTTAAAGTTACACAAAAAGTATTAAATCATTTCTTGTAAAGTCTCGTACTTTTTGCATTTATTTTTAATACGAAGATATTGTTATATTTTATTACTATAATGACAATATGTAGATTATATTATGGAATACAATAAATTTTTGTTATATTTTTTACTACATAATATAATCCATTTATTTATTATATTCTTTATTATAGAATGTAATGCATTTATTTATTATACTTTTTATTATGAAATATAGTACATGTATTTATTATATATATATCTTTTTACCGAATGACATAAAATTATTTATATAAATTTAATAAATAATGAACATGTACAATTGTGTATTTCCACGCGTACTTTCTACCTTTTTATTAATCAATAAAATTGAGTAATGCGTTGCAAAGTACGTTGCACACGAGTGTACCCATAAAAATTATACATTTTTTAGATTTTAACGTTTTATTACGACTTATATTTAACAGTTTTTATAAAGCTACTACGTTATGGTTAAATTTATAAATCTGAAACATGATTCATTTCTAATAGTTATCGTGCTTTGTTCTTTCAGATTGAAACAGAAGCATTGTCGCTTGTATTAAACAATTATACTGATAATGAAACAGCTCATCTTGCTGAAACAAGCGTGGAAGACATGTTACGCAAATATGTTTATTTTTCCTTCGCACGTTTGCTATGTCGAGCATATATTTGCAGTACATGTGGTACGTTCGTTTGTTTGTTCAATAAAACTAGTACGTTTATGTATTGTTAAACAAAATATTCCGTAAAATGTAGTATTACAAATATCTCAAGTTTTCAAGGTTTTAAGTATTCAAGTATAATTAATATAAGCGTATTTTATTTGCAATTCTCTGCAGCCATGCGAAACCTCAATGACGTTTCCGCTCTTTGGTTGCTGGTTACATTAAATGGCGCCTCAGGTCTTTTCAATCGATTGAGGATTACGATTGGTGACGACAATCGATTTTTTATACAGGTATCATTTTATCATTTGAAGTAAAATGCTGTTAGGACTTCTGTAAATATACTTTCTTTGTATGTATGTAAAGAACAGTCATTACTCTACATTGTCATAACACCATTATCATGACCTAATCATAACATAAAACCACCAAAAGTCCTTTCTAGCTAATAGAAACCACATTGAACACGAAATGTGAACATATCAGTAAAAAATACCTGTAAGTACAATAATGCGAAATATCTGAAATATTTCGTTTATTTTTGACTCTGAATGGGTCTCAAGGTCATGATATGCTACGTCGTTGAATTCGTTTCGATACGCCCTTTCATATGATATAAAAAATATATACCATTCCACTTAAAAAACTTAAATTTACCTTCACTTCTCAAAAAATAGTATAAACACGAAAAATTTATATACTTCGTTATGTTGATTATAAAAAACACTATCACTTTTTCCTCTTTCATTTTTTTCTCGTATCAATCGTTTACGAGAAAAACGCTGGCTAGTAAATCTCTGAGCACCCTGTATATAAATTTGTAATTATACTGATATTGTCACATACAGGGTGGTGTAATTAAAATAGCTCAGGAATTGTTAAGAAATATTTTACGCCTCAACGGTAAAATACGATACCAGGAGACAGTTAATGAGGTTAAATTCAACGATGATCGAGTGTATGTATTTACAGAAAAAAGCAGTTTAAGGTATTGTACCTATAATATAAAATTACAGAGGCTGTCATATAACTGGAGGTGCAGTCGGATAAGGGCTGATTCTACGTAAAACAAATAAGTAAAAAATAGAGAATAACAGTTTTTCGTTCGAAACATTTTTCGTTTGAAATCTGCTCGGTGCATGTACTGTCATGAGCAAGTCTGCTTTTCCTTTGGAAAAACGCGGCATTCGAGAAGGAAGTGATGTACCACTAATTTATTTTTACGAATTTTTGACTTCATAATTTAGGGAGAGGTAAAGAATTTGTGGTCTTTGAACTTCGGTGATCTATGATTATAAGGATGGTGAGTTACTACAAATTTTCAAGATTAAAAATTTTGGAATTCTATAATTTTGCTAATTTTCTTAATTTCTCTAATTTTCATGTTTTTAAATTACCAAAATTCCACACTTCCAATTGTCCAAATTTCCAAATTTTGAAATCCCTGAATTGGCAAAGTTCCAGATTTCCACATTCCTAAATTTCTAAATTCCTAAATTTCTAAATTTCCCAAATTTCTAAATTCCTAAATTCTGAAACTTCTGAATTTCCAACTTCCCAGGTTCCCAAATTTGCAAATTTGTAAAGTTCTTCACACGTACCAGAAAATTTTCACTCCTGTCTGTACGTGTATCGAGTAGATCTCTAAAGCCGATTTTCTCCAAAAGCGAGGTCCGAATGAAAAAAACTTTATTCTATATTTTCGACTTATATTTGTAAGTAGCCTCTATCTAATAGTACCACAAGTTATATGCCCCATATATTCCAAAATAATAAATTAACCCAATTATTACCATTGTTTCTTACAGATGCAACTTAGCGGTGATAGCAGTGCCTCCACCAGAGCATAATCGCATTGCCATCGAACCATCCTCACAGTGTTTATTAAATACTCAAATTTTATATACACCTGGCAAGAATATATTCTTCAACGTTGTTTATAAAAATCGATATTCGAATAATGATTCTATAAAGGACATCGTAACTACATGGGACTTGAACAGCAATCTAAATATTGCTTACAATGTAACTCACAGCAAATCAGAAAACTCTATGCTTTCTGGATTTCTTGCGGAACCTAATTCCACGCAAACAAGTAGAAAGGAATTATTTGATACGTTACACGAGTGTTTCAAAAGTGAGGAAACCTCGGAATATCTGCAATATACAGAATACGATCACTTTTTGAATGGTGAAATGAAAGGTGGTAGTCCTATGAGTGTTCTGATGCCCACATTAGTGAATCATGTCAGTTTGCATACGGGTACTGCGTTTGGAAGGTGCGCGAATGTTTGAAATATTCACGTAAATTTCCAAATTTCCAAGTTTCCAGATCTTGAAATCCCTGAATTGGCAAAGTTCCAGATTTCCACATTCCTAAATTTCTAAATTCCTAAATTTCTAAATTTCCCAAATTTCTAAATTCCTAAATTCTGAAACTTCTGAATTTCCAACTTCCCAGGTTCCCAAATTTGCAAATTTGTAAAGTTCTTCACACGTACCAGAAAATTTTCACTCCTGTCTGTACGTGTATCGAGTAGATCTCTAAAGCCGATTTTCTCCAAAAGCGAGGTCCGAATGAAAAAAACTTTATTCTATATTTTCGACTTATATTTGTAAGTAGCCTCTATCTAATAGTACCACAAGTTATATGCCCCATATATTCCAAAATAATAAATTAACCCAATTATTACCATTGTTTCTTACAGATGCAACTTAGCGGTGATAGCAGTGCCTCCACCAGAGCATAATCGCATTGCCATCGAACCATCCTCACAGTGTTTATTAAATACTCAAATTTTATATACACCTGGCAAGAATATATTCTTCAACGTTGTTTATAAAAATCGATATTCGAATAATGATTCTATAAAGGACATCGTAACTACATGGGACTTGAACAGCAATCTAAATATTGCTTACAATGTAACTCACAGCAAATCAGAAAACTCTATGCTTTCTGGATTTCTTGCGGAACCTAATTCCACGCAAACAAGTAGAAAGGAATTATTTGATACGTTACACGAGTGTTTCAAAAGTGAGGAAACCTCGGAATATCTGCAATATACAGAATACGATCACTTTTTGAATGGTGAAATGAAAGGTGGTAGTCCTATGAGTGTTCTGATGCCCACATTAGTGAATCATGTCAGTTTGCATACGGGTACTGCGTTTGGAAGGTGCGCGAATGTTTGAAATATTCACGTCAACGAAAATTTAGAATTCATTTTTTATTATTAAGTTATTGCTATAAGGCTATTATTATATCATTATAAGGTACAAAAGTAAGTAGTGTAAAAATTATCGATGGATAGAAAAATGGTTGCTCGCTAATTATCATAACCTCGAAATGTGTTGTTAGGGATATTATTTTGAATGGCCTTTTCGTTTGAGTGTAACTGTTACTTGTTCATAGTTCTTGAGTAATATTCAATAGAATCAATTAAAAATATTCAATAATATTTGTAACAGTATGCAAATATTGTTTGCAAATTTAGTTTTCTCGTTTGTGGCAAAATAATGTTAATTTAGGTTTATATTCTGCAGACATATTTTCAAACGATTAGATAAACGACAAGTGTAGCAATTGTATTTAGGTAAATGATCATAACAATTGAGACCCTCACAAAATGAATAACAATAACAGTAAATTATAGTTATTCAAGAAACGGTCAAGGATCGCTCCAGAACTTCGTAGAACGTTCCTATAATCGTTTTTCTTTTCAAATTTGACGATGTCCCGACGCGCTTCCCTTCCGTTTGTGTACTTCCCGCCTCGTAGCCCTCGGGGAGAGTGGTGCGGTGCGGGAGGGTAGCCGCGAGACATCATTCGTCAAATTTGAAAACAAAAATGATTACAGGAACGTTCTACGAAGTTCTGGAGCGATCATTGACCGTTTCTTGAACAATAGTGTTGGAACACAAAATAGTGTTTATAGGATGATAAACAAGTAATGAATCAAATTGAAAAAGTCTATATCATTATACTAATGATGAATTTTTCTTTGAAGGGTTTTCTTTGCATCTAGCGAATATGCTACCAATTGGCCAGGAACTATAGACGGCGCAATCGAAGCTGGTAAATTCACTGCTTATTCGCTTCTATACAGAATTAGACCACAGACGCTTACCGCTCGTGAAATAGCCAGTTTTAAGTACGCATTTTACACTATTATATTACAAATACTCCTAGAATAGATATACACTCGGGAGCAATGTAGGTTTCCCTTAAAAAAGCAGTGTAGAAGTAGTGTTAGGTTAAAATAAACCTTAACCTAATTTCTCCCTTTTTCTTATGCTTTCAGTTTTTATTCCAAAAGAATTTTAGGAGAAACATTTTTAGATAAAATCTTTTTATTTTGGATAAAAACTGAAAACAATACAGAACAACACTTATTTATATTCGAAAGAAAAACGCGTCGCGGCGTTGAACTTCGATATACATTAATTATCGAGGAAGATATTTAAGTACTTCTAATAATAATTGAGACAAAAATTAGGTCAACGTAAAAGTAATTACACTTCTTATCCGTCAACTGATAATGAGACCTATATTTCAATTTAAGGGATAATTAATAATTAATTGTTAACCGTATTTATATGTCACAAATAAAATTAGTACATAATGAAAATAGTGAACGCGTCCACATTTATAATTGCTATGTTGATAATTTGGCTAAAAGAATTTTACAAAGAGATTGAATTTCAAAACTGTATTTAAGATTACTCGAATTTTTGCAACTGTAACAGTTACCGTTAATTTATATCTAGTCATCAACTTGTATAATTGAATTAGTCAAATTCATTTCTTGATCTGTTACAACAAGATGTGGCAAAAGTCTGAAAGGGATGTAGCATCTCGTGAAAAACAAGTTTTGAAAAAAAATGTTATCTAGAAAATTTGTAAGGTTCAGAATAGTGTATCAGAAGGTTATGATTTTAGGAAGACTAGTTTATAAAGTTTAGAAGTTGGCTGAGTGGCACTTATGATAATTGTTACATTCACTCAGAATCTTTCATATATTATTTTCGAGATAATGCAAAAATAAATGAAATTGAAAGGCAATGAACAGAAAATAAATGAAATTGAAAGGAAGTGTACAGAATCATAATTTTATAGAGGTTTTCAAATTATAATCATTGAAATTTCCAAAGTGTCACTCTAAATATTTGCAATTTGCTACCAATTGAACACCGTTTAGTTTTTACTGATGGAACTTTGTTTATCAAAATATTAAAAGTGCTTAAAAAATCATGATGTCAATTTTTTTTCTATTACAATTTTCTTAAGTTAGAAAATTAAGCTAACTATAAGAAATGTAATTAAGGAATACTATAGTAGGTTGGACAGAACAACTCGAAAAGAACCAGCACCCTTCAAAATATTCATCATACAGTATATTGGACTGGTACTTAATCTTGCAGTTTTCTGGAGCTTTTTGAAATCTGCCTATAATAATACGTAATTTATATTTGAAATAAGTTCATTTGAACAATGCTTCAATGTGCATTTAAAACTGCAGATAATTGTTAAGGAACAAATTTTGAAGATTTAAAGGAAAGTGATAATTGTATAAAATAATTGCGAGAGAAAAAATAAAGATTTCAACAACTAAATTTGCTCGAAATTAATAATTTCTAAATCTGCTTAAAGTCAATAATTATTTTAATAATTGTCACAAGGTTTTAATCTTTAATTGTAAATACTAGTATGGAAATTTCAAATTTACACACTTTAAAACTTAAAGATTGAAAAATTTCATTTTCCTTAATTTCTAATCGTGTTTTCTTAATTTTAATTTTCTTGACTTGCAGATTTTAAGTCCACAAATTTTTAAATTCAAAAATTGAGGAATTTCGAATTTGTCAATTTCAAAGTTCACGAATTTCAAACTAGAAATATGAATATGGAGATTCAGTAGTTACAGATTTTTAAATATCCACATTTTTCAATTTAGAAATTTACAAATTAAAAATTTTCCATTTTACATATTCCTAAATTCGCAAATTTCGAAAACTCATCATTTTCAACGCGCATTTTATTATAAACATTTAATTAAAAATGAATTCGTTATTGTATTCGTAATATTTACTTTCGTTATACATGTACATATCTTATGCTTGAATGATATCATTTATATAATTGAATAATACAAACATTAACAAATCATTAATAAAATGTGATGTGAAATATTTATTGTGATCCTACAAATGATATTTTAGAAATAAAACGTAGTTTTACAACACATCATTGTATTTTAATGATTTCACAGTTAAACGATAGGTGGGTTAGAAACAAAACCGTAATAAAGTACAAAATCAAATACAAAATAAACACATTAACGTTGAATATGACCCCTAAACGAAATAGCTAGGTAAAAGCAGAACATCAATCGCAGTTCTCCGTTCTATTCCTCCTGATCAAGACCAAATCCACCGGTTCCAAACTAAAATATACAATATTTAGTGAAAATCATACAATTATGGTGCAAGTGTGTTATTAAAAGTCGAACAAGGTAAGTAACATTCATTGTTAATCGGTGAAAAATAATACAATCTTTGAAATATAAATTTTTACGCTCGTAAACTTATTTCTGTCGACAAGTCAAAACATTTTTGCAAATTCTTTTTACAATTTATAATCACTGTTTGGTACTGTTACATTTATTTTATGCTTACTATAAATACAACATTGTAAAAAATATTTATTTTTAGTTAATATTGTACGTGTAACGCGGGTAGATGTAATGGTTATATTAACTTCAAGTTTTTGAATTCTCATCTTTGAAAATATCCAAATTCTTAAAAATCTGAATTTCTAAATTTCTAAATTTCTGAATTCCCGAATTCAAGGTTTTGAAATTTATCAATTCCCAAAAACTACTTTCCGAATTTTCAAAATTTCTCCTTTTCCAAATCCTGAAATCTACAAATGTTTAACTTCATATTTCCAAATACTCAAATTTACGATCAGTATATAATTACCGCGGATTAAGAATGTAACATATCTATAAGATGTATATGTTACTTTTGAAATGTATAAATCTTTTAAAATTTTTGAATCTTTTGTAATGTTTTTTACCATATTTCTCAGATTTGCTATTCTATGTAGATTTGCCGAAGTGTTTCGTGTATAAAACAATAGTAAACTGTTTGTCAAGCAATGTTCGCCATTACTGCTTTTGTCCTAGAAAACCAGATATAATTCTAAAAAGTATAGTAACGACATATAAAAATTAAAAAGACGTTGATATATCATCAATTCAAGTCAAATTCGGGATATTCAAAATTCTTTTGTCTCTATCGTAACGTCTCGAACATTCTAAACTCCTGATTGTATATACGTAAACAGGTAAACATCAGGCAACGTTAGTCAATTTAAATCGATGCATCCTAGCGAGTGTAAAAAAGAGCAAGTAAATAGAACTATTGTGTGTGATTAGAATTTCCGTTACGCCCGTTATATCGTTATATGTATATTTTAATAAACGTTTATATATTCTTTCGTGTCGTTAAAAACCCTGCGTATATTACTCTGCAATTCCATGAAATACTGATTATTGCAAGTCTTACTATGCTTTTCTTTTATGATTTCTGCAAATGCTACGAATTTTCTAATAAATTGAAAAAAAGTGTTTTGATCTGCATGGACTTTATACACAGATATGTGTGTAGTAACGGATTCTCGCATATCAAAAATTTTGTATTAATCTAGAAATTACTCAATGTCAAAGCTTTATTAAAAAGGATACAATTAACTGATTGTCGTAATTATTTATTTAAGCGATATAAATAACAATCAGAAGCATCTCAACACTTCAGGAGCATGTCAACTTTCATAATTGAGACGTCTGAAACCGAAAGCAGCGGCGATGAAACTGGACTACAAGTACCGATGTTCCTTAGAAGAGGATCTCGATACAGCCGTGGAACACCAGGTATACTTTAATACATTTTATGGGGTGTTTTATTAAATCTCTAACAGCCAATATTTACCAACACATATTTCTAAATTTTCATGTTTGGAAAACTGGTAATTCTTTATTGAGAAACATTCTCACTATTGAGAGAAATTCTCGTATTCAGAAAATCTGATCCCCAATTTTTCAAATTTAGATATTTGGAAATTTGATAATTCGGAAATTCGTTTCTGAACTTACAAATTTCTCAATTTTCAAATTTGTAAGTAGAGTTTCTAAATTTTTAACTTCTAATATGTAGATTTTTTCATTCTAATTATATTTTCGTATTCAGAATTTTTTAACTTCTAAATTTCTCTACTTTCAACTATGAAAGGACATAAATTTTAAAATTCAATAAGTCATTATCTCTAAATTTCTGAATTTCTGAATTTTCAATTTCTCAAATCAGATTTCTGAATTCAAAATTCTGAATATATGAGAATCTGAGAATATAAAAGTATAATTTAAAATTTCTAAATTTCTAAATTCCTCAGAAGTAAAAATCTCTATGTTCCAAAATTCTTAAATTTTCTAAATTTCCACGTTCCTATATTCCTATATTTCTACATCCTTAAATACTTTTTCAATATTGCAATTTAATTTAATTTCTGCAGGAACTCCAGCATCATCTATAGCCAGTTCAATAATATTAGGTCAAATTCCGGAAGAGGTGCTCCGTGTTTGGAATCAATTACCGACGCCGATACGTCTGGATCCCAGTTTGGCAGTTTTTCAAAGGGAATACGATCGAGTTCACCATAACGAAGAAGAACGGTTTGTATCTCCTACGAACAATTACTTACTTAACACTAGAACTGCTGACATTAAAAATGAAATGAAACGAAATTAAAAATGAAATAGCAAAATGATGAAATAAAAATGAAACATGAAGAATCTATACGCAATACTGTTGTCCATTGTTTATCTTTACAAATAACACATGCGAGGTGTGACACAAAAGTAACGAGACTAGTCCGATAAATCATTGTACCTGCAGAATCAGTTCTCCGTGACATTATCACCTTCAAAGTAGTCCCCTTCAGCATTCACACACTTTTGCATTCGGTGCTACCATTGTTGGTAACAGTTCTGAAACAAGGTTTTTGGAAGTCCCTTCGGGAGATTCTCTGTTTCTGCCTGAACCTCTTTAACTGAGGTGAAATGGGTTCCCATTAAGCAAAATTTAACTTTAGGAAATAAAAAAAAGTCGCATGGAGCCAAATCAAGTGAATAAGGAAGATGCCCCATCACAGTAATATTTTTACTGGTCAGAAACTGCTTGGCAGACAGTGCCGTGTGAGCGGGTGCATTGTCCTGGTGCAACAGCCAT